CTACGCATAACAACACTGCCACTATCAAGAATAGTAATAATACCCATCATGCGAACTGGTCTGATAACAACACACCTGGCAATAACAATAATGGGAAGCTGAGGAGGAGGAGGATGAGGAGGCGGAGGAGGGGGAATGGGAAGATGAGGAGGAGGAGCAGGAGGAGGAGGAGGAGGAGGAGGAGGAAGAAGTGGAGGAGCAGCAGCAGGATAATGAGGAGGAGGCGGAGGAGGAAGAGGAGGAGGAGGAGGAGAAGGAGGGAGGAGGGGAAGAGGGATAGGAGGATGGGCGGATGCGGAGGAGGATGCGGATGCGGCGGCGGCGGAGGAATATGAGGAGGAGGGAGGAGGAGCAGGATGAAGAGGAGGCGGAGGAGGAGGAGGAGGAGGAGGGGAGGAGGAGATAATGAGGAGGAGGAGGCGGAGGAGGACGAAGATGTAGGTGCGGAGGAGAAGGACAGAAGGAGAGGGATGATGGTGGAGGAGGAAGAGGAGGATGATCATGAGGAGGATGAGGAGGATGAGGAGGAGATGAGAGGAGGGGAGGATGAGGATGAGGAGGAGAAGGAGGAGGGGGAGGAGGAGGAGGAAGAAACGCATGTAGCACGGAGCACGGCGCATGGAGCATGAAGCATGAGGGATATATCGGGATGCGGAGGATGGCGGGACATCTTCTGGACAGGGTGAGGGGTGAGAGGAGGGTAATACTCGAATGATGCACTTGTTGAGGGGTAGAAGCAGGAGGAGCCGGAGGAAGAGGAGGATGTTGAGGAGGAGGATGAGGAGGATACTGATGAGAAACATGAGGAGGATGAGGAGGAGGAGGAGGAGGAGGAGGATAGGAGGAGGTAAATGAGGAGGAGGAGGAGAGGTGAAGGAGGAGGAGGAAGAGGAGGAGAGAGGAGGAGGAGGATGCGGAGAGAAACGGAGGGGAAGGAGGAAGGATGAGGAGGAGGAGGAGGGGAGGAGACGAGGGAGGAAGAGGAGGATGAGAGGAGGAGGAGGGGGATGAGGAGGAGGAGAAGGAGGTTGAGGAGGAGGAGGAGGAAGAGGAAGGAGGAGGAGGAGGGAGGGGGAGGAGAAGGAGGAGGAGGAGAAGGAGGAGGAGGAGGGAGGAGGAGGAGGAGGAGAAACATGAGGAGAGACAGCAGGAGAAACAGGAGGAGGAGGAGGAGAATGAAGAGGAGGAGGAGGACCAGTGTAAAACCAGGGTTCTTCAACGATGTTGGAATTATCCCTCCCTCCAAGCTCCCTCTTCACAGGCCACCACAACGGTTCATTTCCGTTGAGGGAGCTGCCTCGTTGGGAGACAACCGTTTGAAGATCCTGAAGCATGCTAAAACATTGTTCTCGGGATTTCAACGCCACGAATCAACCAGACTGTTGCGTCTTGACGCTCCGGAATCGTGCCAGAGCGCCATTTTCCGGACTTCAACCGCGAATCAACATAATTGTTGCACCTGTACAATTCCGAATCCGTCCAAAACAACATTTCTGGTAAGTTGATGGGAACCCTTGGAATTCTTCAAATTTTGAAAACGAATGTGCGCGGCGCTAAGGCGAGAGCCACATGTTGAAAAGCAACCGCCCTCAATCCGTGAAGCTTGCATTTTTAAAAACGCATGCGCGCGGCGCTCAGCACATTTTGAAAACGACCCGCCCTCAATTCGTGAAGGTCTGGCAAATTTTTAAAACGCATGTGCGCGGCGCTCAGGCGAGAGCCACATTTTGAAAACGACCCGCCCTCAATCCGTGAAGCTCTTGCACATGTTGAAAACGAATATGCGCGGCGCTGAGGCGAGAGCCACATTTTGAAAACCACCCGCCCTTAACCCTTGAAACTCTTGCAATTGTTTTAAAACGATTGTGCGCGGCGCTGAGGCGAGAGCCACATTTTGAAAACGACCCGCCCTCAATCCGTGAAGCTCTTGCAAATAAGAAACGAATGTGCGCGGCGCTCAGGCGAGAGCCACATTTTGAAAAGGAACCACCCTCAACCCGTGAAGCTATTGCAAATTTTGAAAGAGAATGTGCGCGGCGCTCAGGCGAGAGCCACATTTTGAAAACGACCCGCCCTCTATCCGTGAAGCTCTTGCAAGGGTGAACAAAAACGAATGTGCGCGGCGCTAAGGCGAGAGCCTCATTTTGAAAAGGACCCGCCCTCCATTTGTGAGGCTGTTGTCACCCTTTAAGCTTCAGAGTCATTCATTTTTGGGGAAATCTCAGGCGAAGCGCCCGGCCCGCCCTATAAACTGTCCTCGGGGTGCGACTGGGAGGAGTTATCTATAAGAAGAAGGAATGGGGGAGGAGGAGGAGGAGGAGAGGAGGAGGAGAAGGAGGAGGAGGCGGAGGAGAAGGAGGAGGAGAAGGAGGAGGAGGAGGAGAAGGATGAGGATGAGGAGGAGGAGGAGAGGAGAATAGGAGGAGAAGGAGGAGGAGGAGAAGTAGGAGGAGGAGGAGGAGGAGGCGCAGGAGGAGGAGGAGGAGGCGGAAGAGGAGGAGGAGGAGGAGGAGGAGGAGGAGAGGAGGAGCAGGAGCAGGAGCAGGAGGAGGAGGAGGAGGAAGAGGAGGAGGAATAGGAGGAGGAGGCGGAGGAGGATGATGATAAGGAGGAGGAGCAAAAGGAGGAGGAGGAGGAGAAGGAGGAGGAGGAGGATGTGGAGGAGGATGAGGAGGGGGTGCTTCCGCCGCAGAGTCACCGATCGGACGCCAGCGAGAGTAGATATCACCTAGTGAAGCCGTGCAAATAGCGGTGTTTCACGTCGACGCCGAGCTTTTGTTCAGTCCCCCCTTCGGCTGGAGCTTCGCCGCTTCCTCCCCCATCTCCCTCCCCACCTGTCCCCCTTCCTGCCCCACTCTCTCCCTCTCTATTTCCTCCTCCTCCTTTTGCACTTCCTGCTCTTCCTCCTGCTGCTGATCCTTCGCTTGGCTCGGTATGCTTCTCCCACTTCCCTCTCGCCTGTCCTGCCCCCTCCCAACTCCCGTCGCCACCCCCCTCCTCCTCCCCTTCCCCCATCCCCCTCTGCTTCTTCTCTCCACTCCCAACCCCCCGACCGAGTCAATTCTGCCGAGGTCCAGGCCTGAGGCCAGTCGACTGCGCCCCCGCGTTCAGCCTCGAGGACGCGCGGGAGATGGTGCACTACCGACCCGACCTCACCTGCTTCGAGGCCTTTCCAGCGATGATGAAACGGATGAGGAAGATGAGAAGGCGGAGGCCGCTGCGGAGGCGGAGAAAGAGGAGGACTATCATGAGAAGGATCAGGAACATGGTGACATTGATGCTGATGATGATGATGATGATGATGATGATGATGATGATGATGATGATGATGATGATGATGATGATCATGATGATGATGATGATGATGAGGATGATGATGATGCTGATGCTGCTGCTGATAATGATGACGATCATGATGCTGATGCTGATGATGACGATGATGCTGATACTGATGCTGATGATTATGCTTATGAGAATGATGGTGATAATTCTGATGACGATGATGCTGATGATGCTGATGATGACGATGATGATAATGATGCTGATGCTGATGCTAACGATGATGATGACGATGATGATGATGATGATGATGATGATGCTGGTACTGATGCCGATGATTATGCTGCTGATGATGGTGGTCATGATGCTGAGGACGAATCTGATGATTGTGATGCTGATAGCGCTGATGATGTTTATGATGATGACGATGACGTTCATGTGGGTGCTGATGGTTGATTACGACGGTGGTAATGCTGCTGCCGCTGATGATGCTGATGATGTTGAGGAAGGTGATGATGCTGCTGCTGCTGCTGATGATGATGATGATGATGATGATGATGATGTGGATGGCGATTACGACGATGATGATGATGCCGATGATGCCGATGACGATGATGCTGCTAGTGATGGTGAGGATGAGGATGCTGATGACGACGACGATGATGATGATGGCGATGATGGTGCTGATGATGATGATGCTGATGCTCATGATGCTGATGCTGCTGATGATGAGGCTGATGATGATTATTATGAGGATGCTGATGATGCTGATGATACTGATGATGCTGATACTGATGATGATACTGGTGCTGATCATGATGATGCTGCTGCTGATGATGATGGTGCTGATACGAATGATGATGCGGATGAGGATGATGATGATGCTTCTGATTCTGATCATGACGGTGATAATGATGAGGATGATGATGAGGATGAGCATTAGGATGGGGATGATGGTGATGCTGTTGACGATGCTGCTGCTGCTGCTGATGATGATGATGATGATGATGATACTGTTTATGATTATTAACAGGATGATGATGATGATGATGATGATGATGCTGATAATGCTGATGATGAGGATGAATCTGATGATGATGATGCTGATGATGATTATGTTGATAGTAATGATGATGATGATGATGATGATGATGATGATGATGATGATGATGATGATGATGATGATGCTGAGGATGATGATTACAGTGACGATGATGATGATGATGATGATGCCGATCATGACGACGATGATGGTGATGATGACGATGCTGATGAGGATGTGGATGAGGAGGAGGAGGATGACAAGGATGAGGATGTGGATGATGATGATACCGCTGCTGCAAACGATGATAATGACGATGATGATGCTGATGATGATGATGATGCTAATGCTGATGATGATGACGATGATGTTGATGATGATGATGATGATGATGATGATGATGATGATGATGATGGTAATGATGATGCTTATTATGATGATACGGATGTGGATGATGCTGCTGATGATTCTGATGATGCTTATCGTGATGATGATGCTGATTATTATGATAAGGATGATAATGATGAGGATGCTGATAATGCTGCTGCTGATGATGATGTTGACGATGGCGATGACGATTATGACGATGACGACGACGATGATGATTTTGACGATGATGATATTGATGATGAGGATGAGGATTATGATGATGGTGACGATGATGCCGATGCTGATGCTGATGAGGATGATGATGATGATGATGATACTGATGATGCTGATGCTGACAATGATGATGATGCTGATTCTGATGCTGATGCTGATGCTGATGATGATGCTGATGACGATGACGATGAGGATGAGGCTGATGATGATGATGATGATGATGATGATGATGATGATGATGATGAGATGATGATGATGATGATGATGATGATGATGATGATGATGATGATGATGATGATGATGATGATGATGATGATGATGATGACGACGACGATGATGAGCTGCGACAGGCCCTTCCGTCCTGCGCCCCCTCATGGGCTCCTCGTTAGTGATCACAAACTTTCCCTTTCACTCAAAGAGGGGCGCCTCGTCGCAAGACGAGAACCCCAAGGCCTCTGCCACTCTCGCGAGAGCCCCCGTGTTCTGAAACGGAGCTGCGTTGCATCTCTTTGACGCATACCCATCGACCGTTGAAGTCCCAGATTCCAATCTAGTTTAAGCGCCTTCCTACTTCAATGATCGAGTGGCCTCATCTCCGTAGCCATTTTGGCTCAAGCCGTTTTGGCTCAAGCGCGTTCGGTCCAAGCAGCCCTTGTGATTCCGAGACAGGCCGTGGACGTCCTTGCCCGAAGCAGCCATGGCGCGTGCCTCGCTGATCAGTTCGCTCATGGTGCTGGCGCTTGTGGCTTTTGGCCTCCGCTGCGCGTTCGTGCCGGCGCCCCAGGGCCCCGCCCGCCTCCTGGAACTCTCGCCCGCCGTCGCCGCGGCGGTGGCGGGGGCCGCGCCTGCGATCGCCGCGGAGATCGACGCCGCCGAGGCGTACAACCGGAAGGTCTTGGAGGGCGCAGCCTACGGCGGGATGCTGTGCGTCTTCATGCTCGGCCTCATCGTCCAGGGGGTCCGGAGGGACGTGGGCAACAAGTGGCTCAACTGAGAGGGCCCTCTGCCAGCCGCCAGGCTTTCCTCCACGCGCGGGTTCTGCGCTGCTCGTGGCTGCCTGCAGTGGGGAGGGTCCGAGGCCGTGCAGCGTCTACATGTCATGCGTGTCTGTGCGTGAGACCCCTGAGGCATCGCACGAGTTTTTTTAGTGCAGCCGCGCAGCGAGTGCAGACGCGGCATCGGAGTCGACGAGCGAAAACAAAAAAAATGATCGAGCGGCTTCACCTTCTCCGTCCTCCCAAGGGGGCGGGCGGATACCCAATTTTTTTTTCCAGCGCCTTCCTAATTCATGTTTCTACCTACTTCTTCCGACTGATGGTGAAACATCTATGCGGACATGTGTCAGGAGGGGAAAAAACACACAGACACAATTAATCGTCGATTTTCCAGAAAATATAGGGAAACATGGGAAGTGGTGGGGAAGACAAAAACCCAGAAAATATTGGAAAATATGGAGAATCTTTTTTTATTTGTGTGTATTTATTTGTGTGTCCCAGTTTCCCTTCAATGTGGGATCACACCCGTCAGAGAGGACGTCTTAGGCCAGAACCCCTTTTTGACAAGGAAGCGCCCTCCCTCCGTGCAGCCTCTACACCTGTTGGGGAACCTTCAAGCGAGAGAGAGCGCGAGCGTGAGCGCGCGCTGTCTTGAAAATGAGCCCTGCACACTTTGAAGACGGATGTTCTCGGCGGCGCGAAGGGGAGAGCCCCTTTTTGAAAAGGGGCCGCCCTCCGTCGATGTAATCGTTGCCAGCTTCTAAGACGAGTGCGCGCGGGCGGCGCTGAGGCGAGAGCCCCATTTGGAGCACGTCCCCCTCCGTCCTTGCAAAGGTTTCGAAATTTATGCTGTGAGTATGCGCGGCACTAAGGCGCATGTTGAAAGTGACCCTTGCCCTCCCTGTGAATGATTGTTGCGAATCTTAAGATTTTTGATCATAAGAGGTCAGGAAGTCTCATGGGAGACGGCAGGCCTGCCCTACAGACACAGGGCAAGGGATGGAGGAGGAGGAGGAGGAGAAGGAGGATGAGGATCGACTAGGATTGACGAATGCCCGACAGCCACGAGAAGGACCGTTGCGAAGAAGCTTGGCTCAAGTGGGACCCTCGGGGCTCAAGTGGGACTCTCAGGCCGCAAGTTTCGTCGTCGTGTGCGACTGCCAAGCCAGCCGTTAATGGACGTGGTCGGTGGCAGAACCCTTCCGGAACAGTCCATGAGCGCAGTGCTTTCCGCAAGCAGTTGCAATACTATGGTGCGCTTGCGTGGTTGCCCATCGGAGTCGTCCGTGATCACAATCTAGAGACCGACTGCCTCGCCAGCGTCACGATGGAGATTGGTACATTGGAGGCCCATGCCAAGAAACACCCTGCTTGCCTCCAGGGTGCCCTGGGTTTCTTGGGTTTCTTGGGCTTCGATGGTTCTGCGATGGAGAGCGCTACGTTCCCACGCTAGAAATCAAAGGGCGTCATAGGGTCTCATGGTTGGGTTTCTTGTAGAAGGTTTCTTCTGGACTGGCCTCCACTGTATAAGTTCTTCGGGCCGATGCTACTATGCTCAATGTCGCAATGGCTAGCGTGCATCTGGATGACGACGACGCCGAGGCGTCCTCATGTGATGTTGAGGTGCGGGGTTCGCGTTGATGTTGATGTTGATGTGATGTTGATGCTGCTGTTGATGTTACTGTTTATGTTGATGTTGATGTTTGATATTGATGCATGCGTTGGTTCCCCAATTCGTATCCTGATTTGCATGCGGAAGACGCCGGACACGAGTGCACGCGTGATGCTGCCTACGAGGCAGTCGTCCCCCAGATCACTGGGAGGAGACGTTCCTTCGCTGATGGGTGGACCTCTGCTGAGCCCTTCTCAGTGGCCAGAGTCACCCTCCCGCCCGTCCCCCTGCCCGCGGGATCCCCCCGTTTCGAACACTACTTCGTTGACGTCACCGAAGCTGCGGACCCCGCCAAGCAAGGCACCAATATGCCATTTCACTTGACCCACGACTCGCGCTTCGGCCCTGATCACTCTGTCAAGTGCGACACATGCACGCGGCCCACCAGCAGGTGGCGCCCTGGGGACCCCCCTTGGGGAGCCCCCGTCCTCCGTTGTCCGGCTGGCTGGGGGTCCCAGCGCGAGCGCGGGCTCCTGCTGCGTAGCGAACGCCCAGAAGCCTGCACCTTCAGGGCCTGGAACGCCCACTTCCACTGCAACTGGTGCCTCTGCGTCTTGGGATGTCGCGCCAGACGTGTGCGACAGCATCCTACTAGAGGCCACATCCGTCCTCCTCCCCCCAGACGCCGAGGCCGTCGCAACTGATGCGATGCAGCGCGCAAGCGGAGCCGGCGTAGCATGGGCCGCCCCGGGCAGCGAGGGTGACGCTGCAGGGAGTGGCGACGGACCCACAGGAGGAGCCCCCCGCTCTCAGCCCGTGACGCCGTCCCTCAGGACCCCTCAGCTGGTGGTCCTGCATTGCGCGGGGCCCGAGCCGCCCTCCTGCTCACAGACCCAAGGGCACGCGACCTGTGGGAATGTCTCCACTTCCCCGAGGGCCGCGCCCCCGGCCCAGCGGAGGCCAGCCCCGCCACCGCGCCCTACCCCTGCGTGTGCGCGTTTCTCCGGCTGCTGGAATCCAACGGCGACCCCCCAGCAGACCTGGCCAACCCCGCCGATACCAAGGCCGATGTGTGGGCCGCAGGCACGACTCCCCCTCTCCGGGCTCGTGCGGGCCGCCTGGGAGGCAGCCCCCCACACGCAGACGGCCCCAGTCACAGACGAGCGCCCAAATGCACCGCCCCCCTGGGCCCCGCTCGCCTTCCGTGAGGCCGTGGACGCTTTCGTCAAGTGGGCCGGCGCCCACCGGGGCAAGCGAGGGAGCGCCGCCCGCCCAGTTGACCTTGCCTGGCAGGCCTACGCCGGGCGGCTGCGGGGGAGCAGGGCTGGGGGTGACTTGGCGCGCTTGTCCCCTGCGGTGCAGGCTGGCTACCTCAGGGCGTGTCTGGCGAAACGCAGCCGCGGGGGTGAGGACTGGGCCCTCTACCCCTGCGGCCAAGACTACGCTCTCGGCTTCGTGGACGCGCTCGACTCCCGCCGGCGACGCCCTGGGGCGCGCCAGCTCCCCTGGAGCACCCGCTGCCCCCAACCCCGCCGGCGACTCCCAGCCAGACAGAGCCGACGCATCGGGCGCAGCGAGCAGTCATGCCGAGCCCGACGTCTGGAGCGCGCTGAACGCCCAGCATCTCCCCGCCCCGGCACCGGCTCCCCGCGGGCCTGGGCTCGCCGGGTCCGTCGATAATGGTCCTGCCCCGGCGCTACCAGGCCCACTCCCGCCTGGGGCCGTTATCCCTCTTCGCTGGAGGCCCCCGAACCCGCCCGCGTGTCTCCCAGACATCGGGGACACGCCGGTCAACCGCCTCTCCAGGGACCTGCTAATTCAGGCCACAGAGGTGGCGCGCAACTGCGCCCCAGAAGGCGAGGCCCAGTGGAACGAGTACCGCTACATCCAAAACGGCAACACCGCGAAGGCCGATCCCCGCTAGTACTACGACAGGGACTTGGTCAAGTTCTTCTCCGTCACCTTCGAGGTCGAAGAAACCCAGGCCCTGTCGGCCAGCCTTCGCCCCCCCCCCCCACTGCTGCGAAGATGAGGTGTGCGATCACCTCCGGCTGCAGACGGCAGCCATGGTCCGCGTGTCCGACAAACGCACCTGGCAGTCCTACATTCACGCTGCCCAGACAGGGTGCGCTGGGAGCCCCCTCCAGCACCGCCTCGCCACATTCCTGGGCTATATCCATCTCGCCCAGGAGGATGGCTTTCCCTGGGCCTGGATGCAGCTTTCCCCTGAAGAGAGGAAAAGCGCTGCGGTCGCTGCCAAAGAGGCTTGCGAGGACCTCGCAGCTCCCTTCCCCATGCCCCGCGAGGGGGGCGAATGCAACTTCGAATATATCCGCCTGCTTTCGCAAGACGGTGATGTGTACCAGGCCCTCCAAGACTACAAGCGCGACCTCCACGAGTTCACAACCCGCCCAGCCTCCACTGCAGCGGCCACTGGTGACCCACCCAGGGGACCCGAGGAGGCTGCCGACGTTCACATGACCTCGGCGACAGATTTTCCCAGCAGGAACGCCCCCCCCCGCCCCGACGTGGCAGCCAAGGCGCCCCTCCCCGAGGCGCCCCCCTCCCGAGCTGCTCATGGCCCCCTCCATCGCACCTGCGCGCCGGGCGGCCACGGCCCCACGGCCGGAGGCCGACGGTGGCGACTGCTGCCCCCCCCTGCTGGGCTCTAAAGGGCCGACGGTAACGATGATGGCGTGAGCCCTGCAGGGCCGACGGCTGCCCTCCCCCCGGGCGAGACCAGACGTGGCCACCCGGTGCAGGCAGCCTCCCATGGACCCGCGGCAGGCCCCGCCTCTCTCGGCGCTGGCCCCCTGCTGTGTGCTACCGATGGAGCAGCCCCGGGATGCTGCCTCCGGCAGCGGGGCGAAGCAGCCCCCCCCGCCCCCGAGCCAGCGCCAGGAGGTCGCAGCAGCAAGCGGGCCTCGCACGCCCACCGCTCATCCGACGCGCCTCGCGGCCGCCCCATGCGGATCATTGAGGTCAACTGGGGCGGGGAAGGGATCCGTGGCTCGTGGGCTTCCTGACTGCCGCCGGGGCCCTGGCTCCCGCCGGGGCCCCCGATGGTGCGCGCCCTGCAGACGCGCCGCGCCCCAGGGTGTCTCAGGAGGGCGCCGCGCCCCCCCCCGGGGGTGACAGCGAGGGAGCAGCCTCTAAAGGCACCCCCCACCGATTTTGCCCCCCCTGGGTGGCAGCTGGGTGCTGCGGCCCGAGGGCCGAGAATGGCAATGCAGCTTCGAAGCAAGACGGACCCCCCCCCCCCGGCGCAATCCCCTCCCCCCTCCTGATCACTGGCAAGACAGGCCAAGCGGTGCGAAGATCAGCTGCTTTTCGCAGTGCTCGAGCTTTCGGCTCCAGGCCGATCGATCATCAGGAGCTCGGCGGAAAACGGACGGGGTCGCGTGTTGCACGCTGCTGCCTGCATGCTGCTGCCCACGTGCCAGACTTACTGCTCTCACGAGCCCTACTCCCCCCTCCCTGTCCCAGTCTCCCCTTTCTCCTCCTCCATCCTCCTCTCCTCTCCCCGCCCCCCATCCTCTCTCCTCTGTCCTCCCTCTTCCTTCCCCCGTCGTCCCTGCACCCTCTTCCCCTCCCCTCCTCCCTCCCCTCCTCCCCTCCTCCCTTGCCTCCCCTTCCTCTTCTTCTCCCCCCTCCTTGCTCATCCCTGCCCGCTCCGAGGTCGTGTACCCAGACACGGCGTCGTACCCAGGGCTGCCATGCTGCCAGCAGACGAACCTGGTGCAGTTCGAGGGCAGCTTGGCGGGGAAGGTAGGCCGCACGGCCAGGACTAGACGGGAGGAACACGCTGACCATGACCAAGGTTTGCGGGATCTTGTCGACGCCGAGAGAGGATTGTCCACGATTTGACGGTGACCAAGACCAGCACCGATGTTTTCGCGCGCGATCAGTCCTGGTCATGGTCAACGTTTTCTCCCCCTACTAGGACAGCGTGCGTGGGGCGCGACCTGGACGACGGCCAGGGCCTCCCCGCCACTGCGCCTGAGAAGCCCATCGACGGCGCTGGCAGCGACCAGCTGAGGGCTGGTCCGCGCCTAATGGACGAGGCTCGGGGGCAACGATAGGGGGGGATAGGCATAGGGGGACCCTCAATCGCCCATTCATCGCCGATAGGGGCTCGATGGCCCCAACCTGCCCAGGAAGGTGCGGATTCACCATCGGAGGCCTATCGCCGATCTATCGGCGATGCATCGCCGATTTCCGGTCGATTACCGTTGCCCCTCAGAGGCGGTGGCTGCGGGTCGGTTGCGCGAGGGCAGCTGCGAGGGAGTCAAGTCCGTCTCGAGCATCTCGAGCGCGGACACCGGGTCCGCCTCCAGGGGCCTCCGGAGCGTGGACGATGGCCATCCGATGAGCCCTCAGAAGGGCAGCGTCGCCCTGCCGCTGTCCCCTCAGCGGCGCAGCCGCGGCCCTGAGGACCGGGACATCAGAGGAGGAAGAGGTACCCTTACTGCTACCCTTCGCCCGTTGTTCCCTTTTTTCGGCCTCCAGGAATGCCCTCGTCGCCACAGCTGGATTCGCCTCGAAGTCCTGGTCAGAACGCACCAAGGGAGAGGCCTGGGCAGTAGCGGTATCGGTACCTTGCTCGAGTAGAAGATCGAGTACATAATTGATTTACCCCAAAAGTGTCGGATTACCAGCGAATGCGCATGATGCTTATACATTTGCAACCATTCTACGTTTTTTCTCGTAGATTCGACGTGTCAAGCAATTCCGGAGTACATCAATTCTACAGTCCATCTATTCGACTGTTAGTTTCCCCAGGACGGGGTGCCGCGCCGCACCCTCTGGGGCCAGGTCCGGAGTCTCCAGCAGAACCTGCGCTTCAAGATGGTGGCCAAGGATTGGAAACTGGAGCTTATACATTACCTGTGGCGGGCTGTTTTTCAATCCCAGGACTTTTCGAGGGTCGGGGACGTCGCCGGGGTGGTGTGGTGTATGTATACCTTTTCCACCGTTTTCCCAGGGGAAACAACAAAAAACATATACACCAGGATCTCGTATACACCAGGATCGACTTTCCTGTGCGAATTTCAGTACAGGGCCGGAAAAAGCGTCGGTGTATATAGAGTTCGGCTCCTTCAAGGAGTCGCAGGGCGCTCCCGCTACGCCGGCTGAACAGGCGGTTTCGTGCGCGTGCGACATGATTCTCATCCGCAACATCAACCCGCTGAACGCGACCTTTCAGGCCTGCTGCGTTGTGGCTGCCGCTGCCGCCTGTGTCGGGACGCCCTCGGTGCTGGCGCGGCAAAGAGCCATCGCAGATTCTCGTTGCCTCGACGCGGCGACGACGCTGGTGCGGGTGTTGAAGGTTGAACATCCGCTGGGAGCACGCCTCGACCCCAGGGCCCACAGAAGACAAGGAACGGCGCAAAATCCATGCGAAAGATGGGATAGCCTCTTTGGACTTCGAGATCTGAGTTTGGCCAACATTGAACGGCTCACGCGGTGGTAGAAACCATGGTCCATGTAATCACGTCAGCAACTTGCTGTACTTTCTCATCGCGTGCTGGACCTTGTGTCGGCACAGTCGTATCGGGGAATGGTGTTTCCAGGAGAGTGGAGCCAGACTGTGATCTGGTCTCGGACGTATGTGACGAGGAAAAGGAGGAAGGAGCAGGAACAGGTAGTTAGGGAAGAGAAATATGTTCATATCTATTTTTTTTGTTTTAGAGTGGACAGGTAGGACGATGCGCTTCGGCAATCGGCGAGTCAGGAAGCCTCGCCCGACAGGGTCGCAGCGGCCGCTTCAAGCCTTCTGCAGCCAGCTTCTGTGACCAATTGTAAACCCTTGCCCTGCGGGTCCGATCGACGCTGGTGTATCGGACACTCCCGCTGGGGTTCACTTGGCTGCAGATATTCTTCGGCTTCTGAACCTTGGCTGGCGTTTCAGACACCTGAACGGCAAGGACATGGTTCACATGTGGGTTCTTATAGCCGCAAAAGGAATGCAACCTTCGAGGAGGAGGGGGATGATGATGATGCTGATGATGATGGTGCTGCTGCTGATGATGATGATGCTGCTGATAATGATGATGAGGATGATTATGATGATGCTGCTGCTGATGAGGATGATGCTGATGCTGATGCTGATGCATCTGCTGCTGCTGCTGCTGCTGCTGCTGCTGCTGCTGATGATGATGATGATGATGATGATGATGATGATGATGATGATGATGATGATGATGATCATGATGATGCTGAGGAGGAGGAGGAGGAGGAGGAGGAGGAGGAGGAGGAGGAGGAGGAGGAGGAGGAGAAAGAAGAGGAGGAGGAGGACGAGGATCAGGAGGGGGAACTCCGTGCCTGAGTTGTGGGTATGAAGCCAATTGGATGTTCGCGCCCTCTTGGGCCGTCTTGGGCGCCTCTTGGGCCGTCTTGGGGCGCTCTTAGGCCGTCTTGGGCTGTTTTGGGGTGGTCTTGGGGGCCTCTTGGGCCGTCGTGGAGCGTCGGAAAGCCAAAAAGGCAAACATCCTTCAAAAGCCATTGGAAAATCAATGATTTTTGCCTCTTGGCTTCATCTTGGGAGGCTTCTTGGAGGCCTCTTGGGGCGTCTTGTAGGCATCTTGCGCCATCTTGAGGCCATCTTGGGCGTCTTGGAGCGACCTTTCCGCGACTCGGGCCCTCTTGGACCGTCTTGGGGGCCCCTTGGAGCCCTCTTGGCCCGTCTTCGGGCCCTCTTGGGCCCGAAACAAGTCGCGCGGGGAGACGCGCCAGAGCCCATGGGGGCACGCGATAAGCCCCGGTAGATTTCGGACACTTGGGTATGGGCCGCTGACAGACTCCTCAGGACTGAGGGCTGGGGCTCCAGGGATTTGGCAGAAAGGACCTGAGGACACGCCCACTCCGTGCCCAGAGGCACGGTGGCGGATGCACAAGCACAAACAGTCGTTCACTTCAATGAAGCTCTAGGAAAATACGTGCAACGGAGGGTGGGGGTGGGTTGGGGTGCGCGCCTGCGCGCAAGTGCGGACCCACCTTCCGCGCCAGTGGGCTCATCTCTGTCGGCCTGCCCTGCCATTTTGAAAGCGGTCCTCCTGCCTGGAGTCGGCTGGGGGTCTGAGATGGCCCAGCGCTGGTTCCAGCGAGCAGGCAAGGGGAGCGAGGTTCGAGGCGCTGGGTTCGACACGAGTTTTGGGCTTTCCGGTCTCCGGGGGTCGTTTTCGGGCCCTAGGACCGTCAGAAACGGATCTGGGGTGCAAGATAGCTCCAGATGGGTCCTCGGAGGGGCTCTCCTGGGGACCGATTTTGAGCAGATTTGGCGGCATCCACCCTCCTGACCGATTTTCGGGGGTCAAGCCAGTTCAGACCCCCCGGCCGCCTCCAACCTCCTGCAGTGCCGCTTCACCATCTACCTCGAGTGGCTCGACAAGGCGGCGGTGGGGCTGCCAGTCGGCGAAGTGCCCGAGGACCGGAAGAAGCAGATCAGCGTGCCAGAGATCGCTCTGCAGGATGCTCCCGCCCGCTGTCACATCCTCCGCGCTGCTCTCTCGCTGCTGCAACGCTTCTGCCGCTCCTGTCAGGGGCATCGTTACGTGGGGACCGGCTCAGGATAGGATGCATCGGGCCCCAATCGCCTATTGATCGCCGATAGGGGCCCGATAGCCCGTCCGCACTCAGTATCATGCGGATTCGCTATCGGGGGCCTGTCGCCGATCTATCGGCGATGTATCGCCGAGTCCAGGTCGATGATCACCCTCTGAGCCGGTCTCCCCCTGACGTTGCTCCTCATGCTGGCTCCTCCTCGGTCAAGGTTCCCGTTGTCACTGCTAGTCTGGTCCTTTCTGCCTGGTGCCTCCACGTTTCAGCAGTGGCCGCTGCTGTGAATAGAACCCGTATAATACCCTCATATATACTCCATATCCTCACCTCTCCTGCGCCTGGCCGTTTGGGCTCAGGTATTGGAATAGATCGATCAGACCTTTGATCGTGCAGGAGGAAAAAATATTCATCTTTCCCTCCTTTCCTCTACCAGCGGATCAGGGGTTCTGTACCTTTGTACTCTAACCCCATTCACAGGTTATCAGCCCTTTAGAGCTCACAGTTCATCGAACCCCGCGTCGCGATCTCGCACGCGGCCTCGATGGAACCCAAGCGGCGCATGCGCCGTAAGGGGTCCATCGGGGCCTCGCGTCCGAGCTCTCCGACGGCGCGACGGCTCGGTCATGAGTTGGAGAGCCTTAGTGTGGACCGTGTAGGTGTCCCAGGTACCCCCCCCAGCTCCGACGGACCCGAGGCGCGGCTAGCTGCTGAATTTCACCGCCACGCCGCCCGCGGGGGGACAGGAAAAGGAGTAGGAGCAGGCAGTAGGGAATTTCACACGCTTACCTTCGATCCTCCATCTCCTCCTCCGTCGGGAGCAATCTCAACTGCGTCGGGCGCGAGCCCCACTGGTCCTGATACTCTAGGGCGCTTTCGCGCTAGCCGCCGATGGACCACAGGTGCTGGCATGACCGGCCCTGCGACCGTTCCTGTGGCGGAGCACGTAGCCACTTTCGAGGAATTCAGTAGACCAGTGACGGCACAGCCGCAGACGCAGTACCCCCAGGTATCATCTCATCATACACCACACACACGGCCCTAGCCGCAGCTCGTCCTTGCGCAACCGTCGCGGGGCCACAGGCCCATACGACGAGAGGAGGTCGAGCCCGCGTGCTGCCTCACGGAGGCCACGCACTTCCCGCGAGAGGGTGCAGAGGGAAGCTGACGCTCCCCACCTCTCCATCTCAGATGACCTGCTGGCGGCAACGTTCGCTGCAGGCGAAATAGCTGAGCTCAGAGACCAGGTTGAAACCTTCGTGTCCAGGCAGTACTCTGGACTGATGCAGAGCGTTCGGACGAACGCTGCCAACGCTGCTGCTCTACGCCAAGATCTCGACGGCGCCTTAGTGATCATCGATTCCAGGATCGCTGAAAATCGCCGCATCTTAGGTGAGCTGCAGTGCCAGGTTGACCGTGAGACGTCACACTCAGGTGAACGATCGGCGACGGTCGAGAACCTGCGCAACTACCTCGCGCAGACGGAGCAACAGCTTGTGATCGTACGCGACACAGGCGTTTCGGCAGTCAGGATTCTCCACCGCGAGATCCACGACCAGCTTCGCAACCGACCGCCACCAGCCGAAGCCGCCGACCTTGGCGACGTTCTGTCTCAGATCAACGATCTTCGATCCCACATGGACCGCACTACGGCGACGCTTCGCACCGAAGCACGCGCCAACTCGTCAACCCTGATCGGCATGTTGCAAAATACTGAGAGAGTTATCACCCAAAGGCTTGATGCGACCAACGCTGTCGTGCAGCCACTCGCTAACCGGATCTCTGAAATCGAGCAGCGTTTTCTTGGTGCACGGGACGCCCTGGCAGAGTTGCGTGTCGAACGAGCCCAGACTGCGCAGCTGGATTCTCCTCCCACGGTTTACGATTTCGCCCGCCTCTCTGACAGGTTGCAGGAGGTTGAGAATTCGGCGGACCACGCGCATTCTGAGCTCTCCCAGGTTATTCGTGAGAGAGATATTGAAAAAGTACGCGTTGAGGAGCGCCTCGCACGTCTGGACAGTGAGTTGGAGGCGCGCAGCGCCCGTCTCCGAGCCTACGAGCAACGACTTGACTGGTATTCACAACGCTCTCGGGATACTGACGAGTACACACGCCAAAAGGTGGACCAGATACACGATGATATGACGAGCTGGACAAATCAGCTGATTGACCACACCAACGACGCCATACTTCACCTTCAACCTGCAACCGACCTGCACGGGCCGACGGCAGCGTCCGCCGAAGTACCGCACGCTTCTGCAGGACAACCATGACGTACGTCACCAGGAGCAGCCTCCGCGGCAGCCTCAGCGCAGACACGCCGCGTGTCTCCCGTGCGCACAGAACAACTACCGACGGTGTACCAATACCCTCACAACCATTGTCTGCGGTTTCGGTCAATACCACTACTCCAATCAAGGAGTCAGACACCGTCCGAGTACCTGTCTTGCCTAAGATGACGCAGCTGCTTGAGTGGCAGCAAAAGGCACGGAAGAATTTTGGAGCCGCCTCAGGGCGACCATCCAAAGCATATACCTTCCTATGCGTGGCTGAACAGCCCGAGTGTACCATCGAGGACATACAAGACAGTGGAGATTTTGAGAGCATCGATTGCAAACTCGCTACCGCTCTTAGCGACATCTTATCTTCAGACTTGCGCTACCAGATCAGGCCCATCGAAACCAGAGAGCACAAAGCAGGGCGCATGCTCAAAGGACGCCAGATCTACTGGCACATCCTGCAGTCCTACCAAGTGACAGAGGTTGATGACGACCTGCATGATTTCGAGCGCCTCAAAGAACTGAGGATGAGAGATGAAGAATTGCAACGTTTCATTACTGATTGGGACGCTTTACTATTGGATTGCCGAGAGGCACCCGACCCAAAGATCTTGGAATCTCTGTTTCGCACGCAGATTCGGCGACATGCCTGGATGAAGCAAGATATGTGCGAATACCAGCGCGTGAAGAACAGCGACCCGAATCGTGCCTATGATTGGCTCCGACAGCGCGTCTTGGACGTGCTGGAGCTCAAACAACTGGAAAATAATCTAAACATGTTACGGTACGAACACGTGACTCGTTCTCAGGTGCATGTATGCGCCGCCTGGAAGAAAAGCAAACGTCGCAATGGTGAGCGATGCAAGGCTTTACGTACCTTTTCCAGGGATTGGAATGGCAGCAGATCTTCCAGAGCATCGACCGCTGGTGGCAACTCTCGCCGCAGCGTATCAGCCCCTGCGAATCCCAAGAAGCCAGCATCGAAGCCATGTTGCTTCGAGTTCGCCAAGCGCAACACCTGCGCCAGAGGCGACAAGTGCAACTTCCCACACATGGCGCAGTGCAGAGACTTCGCACAGAACAAGTGCCCCAAGGGTAACAAATCAACTACGCCCACCTGGCACCCGGCGCGAAGACACCTGAGCGAAGCCCCAGTCGCCCACGGACCTCCAGTCAGGACAGTCGTGGACGACCGCCGTCCCGCGGATCGGGGAGTCAACGCTCTCCACAACGCGGGGGGTCCCGCAGTGCGGGGGGCTCGTACAATAGACGTGACAACCGACGCCAATACGACCGATCTCGCTCATCCTCCAGGAGGTCTCCCGACTCTTGCAGCCAATCGAGAAGTCGTTACGACAGATCTTCGCGATCTTCCCCTCGAGGGCGAGACGGACGTGGCGGAGGACGTGGCAGCCCGCGTGGCCGCGACAGGTCGTACGGCAGCGACAGAGGACGTGACCGACGTTCCACGAGCCGCGGTTCTTCCTGCAGTTCCCCCAAGTTCAGGGCGCGCTCTCCTGCCAAATATCGCCGCCCGCGCCACTCCGACCGCAGTTGCGTCATGCGTGACAAGACTCTCATGGCCGCCAACAAGGCCAAAGACAGCATCTACCAAACCACGGCGTCGGATACGTTTTGACGCACATACCGTGGAATACTAACCGTATATCGTTTCTGGCAGGTCCACTCTGGACAGGTGGATGGAGAAGCCGAACGAGGGCGATATCGTCAAAGTACCAGACCCGCTGCCACAATGGTGGTGGAAACAGAGTGCAGACGCCCTACAACGTTGTCAGCGGGAAGCAAAGTTATGGTATAAAGATCTACATGACTACCGACACGACAAGGGGTCGGTGGTCACACCAACTGCGATTCCAGTTTCCGACGACTCTACCACAGAGTCCTCCGAGACACACCAGAAGAAGACAAGCACTTCGCAAGTCGACCCTCCACGATCGACCGCTGCGTTGACGCGATCCCTGGTTCTCGACAGTGGATCTGCACACCATATTCAGGATAGAAATGAGCTGACGTTGACCGAATCGGATCGCATATCTATTTGCGAATTTGCGAGGAGCATATTCTGGAAACTGCCAATGGTGATCGTACGGTCAACGAGCACTACGACATACAGCTACCTGCAGTGGGCTTGAAGAGTTCAGCCCTCGCCTTGCCAGATTGCCCATCGTTATTATCAGTTGGACAATTGATTGAAGTTGATGGCTTTCGGCAGCTTTGGGGTCCAGAGCTGGGCTACTTGCTTCAGGATCCGGGGGGCCAATGGTATAAGGTTCCCGTCGACAACAGAGTTCCAGAACTACGACTCGACGATTTGGTGACGATACCACCACCACGATGGTGCACTTCGTCAGCACCCAGACGTCGTCGGCGCAAGCGTTCGTCCGCACGCTGCAACGACATATGCTGGTGTTGCAAAGCTACAGAGCAGTCACCACCTACAGATGAGCTGCGGCCACGCATAGGGACCTGTCCAAAAGAGACCACATGTCGGCGAGGGAGGAGGAGCACGGACCGCCACGGTCGAGTAACCTCCCAACACAAATAATGCCGAGTCCTACGTGGACACGCACACTCCGACTCGCTAACGTCTCAGATGCAGTGTTCTCTTCCCG